CCTTTATCCTCTCTTGAAACCAGCTGGAAATCAGCTGTGTCTCCGTGGGAGCCCAAACAGCTGATCAGCTCTTGTGGGCTTTTTAAAACCAACACAGGTGAGAAGCAGTCTCCACAGGGGGTAAAGAGTGAAATCCCAAACTTTATGACTGCAAGGTCACACAGTCATATATGTGTTGAATAGGATGTGACCTTTGCCTCAAAGGTTTTCAGCTGTCCTTTCTCCATTACATTTCCAGTTAAAAGGTTGAACATTTCAGCTACTGCATTGCATTAATGGAGAGACCTTTATATTTTACCTCATCTCTCTGGAGCTACAGTGCCATAGCATTCTATACCTTTTGTAGCTATATATTTTAAAAAACAAACATGCAAGACAAGAAAGGTGGGTACAGATCACTGAGAAGGAGGTGATAAACTCAGGAGGGAGATGCTGAGAATGGAAGAAAACCAGACCTTTTCCTCAGTTTAATAGCATACCTCAGTTGGGTGAAAATAAAATAAAAAAGAAGCATAAGGATCGGAAATAGCACTAAAATGTCCTACGCACCAACAATAAACTAGGGCCTAAACCCTGGAATATTAAAAAGGTGCAAGTATGGAGGCAACTATTTCAAAATGTGAAATCCGTAACAATACCCTGACATTTTCCAGAACTGTTGGGCTGTTGTATGTCAGCAAGTTCAGCCTGTGATTGTGTCTGATAAGCATGTTGATTTGCATGATGGGAACGGGGATGATGTTCATATTCATGTTGATTTGCATGATGGAAATGGGGATGATGTTCATGTTGATGTTCCTAAAGGGAGTGGGGATGTTGATTTGGTTTCTGGGCCAGGGTCTGGGGATGAGAGGCCGGAGAGGCCTTAGTTGCTGCAAGGGCCTGAATGAAGTTTTCAAAGGCCTGAGTTGCTGCAAGAGGATTCTCAAGGTCTCTAGCTTGGGGAAGGTTTTGCATCACAGTTCTCTGATCAGTTATCTAAGAATGAAGTTGATTTTGAGGACCCGGGTGCAGAAGCTATTGAGGGGAATGAGGCCTTGAACAGGAAAATATGTTTCAGTAAGCAGAGACAATCCGTACAACAATTAAGACGCTTGGCTAGACTCCAACAGAACTTGGATGTGAAACAAATCAAGAAAGAATCTGTTTCTAGATGTTTGGGAATTAGGGCAGAGTTTATAAGTGATTAGTGAGAAATATTGCTTCAGTTGAATGTCAAGTCTCCAGCCTCAAGGTCTCACTTAGTTCATGGTTGTCCTATGGAATATGCTTCTGTTCTGTTCAAGGGTTCATAGATTTTTTGACTCTTTTTCCTGTATTCTTTTATATCAATTGGATTACTTTTTACTGAGAATTACCTTTTACTACTTATTCTTAAATAAACTGCTTTTTGATTTACCCAGTTGGTGTGGTGTTTAAAGTCAGAGATGATTCTGTTCTGGAGTGCAACATTGGGCAGCATGTGTATTACCTTTCTGCTCAGTGTTATTTCTACTGTGTTATGGTGAAAGGTGGCATGAGGGTGAAGAATAGTGACTTTGTTTAGGCCAGTGGTTCTCAACCTATGGGTCCCCAGATGTTTTGGCCTTCAGCTTCCAGAAATCCTAACCGCTGGTAAACTGGCTGGGACTTCTGGGAGTTGTACACCAAATCACCTGGGGACCCATAGGCTGAGAACCACTGGTTTAGACCAACTAGTGGTATTTTTAGCTGAAGAGGGGTGGCCCAGTAACTTAATAGGTTGCAAATTTAGCCAGTTGCACAATGCCATAGCTCAAAGTGAATATCTTTTACAAAGAAAAATGGCCAAATGTACCCATCTCAGTTGCGAGAGGCTGATCTGTGGTGGTCTACGACATTTGAGGAAGATGCTTGTGAGTGCCATTAGAGTACATCAAAGCTCTGTCTATGTTCATAATAGCTTTAGTGTAAACCAAGCTTGGGGGGGTGCCATGGAAATAAATAATTGTATTAATTCATGTAAAAAACTCTAGCACAGAAAGAAGTTTTCATTGATGTTTTCTTTTAAAACTGATAAATTCAGCTATACTTCCTGCCAAATCCTGAGATTTTCAGCCATCGTGGAGGAGTTCAAAATGTGAAGCTCTCTGATTCTGGGTGCTCTACTTTATTGCTGTGCTTTTCATTGCCTCCAGTTTCACTGTCTTTTAATATAATAATTCATGTTGTTGGGTTTCACAGTCAGCCCTCTGTGTCCACAGATAAGATAGCCCACTTCAAATATGCAATTGGCTGTCACATAGCTGATGAAACAAATTTGTGTTCCTATGCTCCAGATGGTAATAAACCAATAGGTTCAAATGGCATGAATATTAAGAAGAGCTTCTTCAGATTACAAGGAAGAGATAAAACTCATTATTTTGAGTGGTTTTATTGCAGAGACCAGATGGTCAACAATCAGGGATAGCTTGTAAGTGGACTTTCTGCAAGAGAGTTTGGCGAAAATGACCAGATCACCTGGCAGAGTGCGAACTGATGAAGCAGAGAGCAAAATTGTCATTTCCTTCACCTGGTTGTTACTCAGTTTCTCATTAGTCTCAAATATATGGCTCCATTCTTGCTGACCGTGTGCCACACCAGGAGTTCTTGACTCATTACCTTTAAACGGCATTTCAGTGGAACACTTGCTGTTTTCAAGAGAAGACCTCCAACAAAAAAAGGTCATATCCAAGCTGGAGGCAGCTTTTTGCATTACAGGTTCTCCCACATCCCAGCTGCTGGATCTTCATCCAGAATTGTCAGTGGGACTCTTGCAGTTAATGAGAGTTAATGGAGGGTAGGCATACATGGATGACTGAAAGCATAATTTTGTTCATGGCCTAGTCACTATGCAGTTTTACAAATGTTGTAGAATGTAAAGAAAATATAAATGAGAAGTCATGAAATACACAGTCATTTCAGATTGGCTTATAAAAATAGTAACTATTGAATAGCCCAGACATACAACTTGTGGTGTGAAGGCTTATTTATTTATTTTATTTATTGTGTCAGTGCAATCAGTGAAGGCTGATTTATTAGGAAGATGTTTGCTTGCTTTAACGATTAAATTGTAAGTATTCCTTAAGGATTACATTTCAGTAGGGATCCCAGTTGAAAAGACCCTGTCTTTCATACCTACCAGTATGATGGACATCTGTCATATAATTATACAGTTAGAGGAGACCACAAAGGCCATCCGGGCCAGCTTCAAAAGGCCCTGAGAGGTGTGTAGGACTATTGCAGTGGTGTGTTTTAAATTGTGTGGGAAACACTTGATAATATTGTTGAAAAGTTACTAAACGAAGTTACAAATGGCCCATGAATGATGTATCTGGGTTTTATCATACCAGTCTATTCTCTTTTAGCAATTGTGTTTTTTAAGCAAACAGAAACATCAATATGGAAGCAATCGCCTTTACACCTTATCCCCAATATTGCTACTTCAGTGATGCCTATCAGTCTTCCACACTGCTTTGCTTGATCCCACTGTTCTGCCCATGTCTGCGCTACATATAGTTACAGGGTTTTCTGAGGCATACAGGATGTTTAGTTTTTAATTTTTTTGTATGTTGCAATTTTACAGTTGTTAAAATACAATTGTTCAAATAAAGGTCACTGCTCTAATTGTGTAGTTGCAGCTCACCATGGCAGCTCAATTGCAAAAACACAATTACAGCAAAATCATTTTTAAAAAAAAATAAATAAAATAAAACCTGGGGAACTAAGTAAAAGCTGTGTTGTTCCTATGCACCATGGTGTCCTCTTTCTGTCATGAAGTGATTGCACCCTGAGAGGGATGAGGGAAGAAACATACCCATGGTCACCACACGTAAGGGGAGACACTCATTGCATTGGCTTTGTGAGTAGCAGACTGCAACTCTTCAGAATCTGCCAAGTCCTAGTTTGCAGAATACATTTTGCTGGCTCTTCTTCATGACTATTCTCTCAGCTCATAACAAGCAAACAAGCTCAGATTGGTAGTCTCTTTCCTCCAGGATGTGAGAGATCATAAATTTCCAACAAACTGAGCAAACTCCTAGCTCTTTGTACAATCAACAGTATTCTGTTGAGTTTGTTTTTCACTCACACTATTTGTGGACAAGGACTAGCTCTAGGGTATTTGTACCCCTTCCCTTTAGCTAATATTCTCTTCTAGATTTCACATGAATAACAACCTTGATTGGGGTGAATATGCTGACATTAACTCCTGTGAATCACAACCTCCTCCAGACCATAACACAATATTAATAGAAACATTACTATTATACATTCACATTCACTCTTTTACAGATGAAACACACTCAAGACTTGAAGTATGCAAATTGATTCCTTCTGGCCTTCTCCCCCTTCCAGGCTTGGGAATTGTGCAGTTTTCCTCTTGCTGCTGAACCACAATGGTCAGAATTTCTCACCATTAGTTGTGTGGAACAGGAGGTTTGGGAATTTAAATTTGACAACATTTTAAGGGCTGTGCAATTCCCACCCCTATTCTACTGCACAATACTTAATCTATTACTGAAGTAAGATGAATAACTGCGGAACAAACAATGCAAGGGAAGTCAAATTACACACAATGTATTTACTCTCTTAAACCCATGCCATTCATAACCTTGCTACAACATTGTCATTTGAGAGCCAAGTAGAAAACCCTTCTTATATCAGATAACATCGGTTTGCATGTCACTGCAGTAGAAATTGAAGATAAGGCATTAATATACTGTGTGTGTATGTTCCTTCATGTCACTTGTCAACTTATGGTGACACAATGAATTTCATGGAGTTTTCTTAGGCAAGAAAAACTTAGAGGTGGTTTAGTGAGTTCTTTCTTCATAAATAAAGTAGCCTAGAGCATGTGGTATTCATTAGTAATCTTTAGTTGTTTTGGAAGTATTTACTTATTAAAAGTATTTAAATGGGCATCATTTCCTCTTCTTCCTTTTAATGAGCGAAAGAAAATAAAAAAAACCTCTAATCCCCAAATCTTTCCCCCCTCTTTACAGGTGGAGAAATCTATGGCTGGAGTTCCACAGTGATGTGAAATAACCTGGTGACCAAGATGACTCTTTTACCAGGAGAAAACTCAGACTATGATTACAGTGCATTGAGCTGTGCTTCGGATGCCTCCTTCAACCACCCTTTCTTTGCTGAAACAGAAACTCTCAAAGGTGTATTTTATCAGAGAGCAAAACTCATTCACCCTGGGGAAGACCTCTATGAATGCATTCACCCTGAAGACCGGAAGCACCATATCATCATCAATGTTGGGGGCTTTAAGTATTTGCTCCCATGGACCACACTCGATGAATTCCCCATGACCCGCTTGGGACAGCTAAAATTTTGCAACAACTTTGATGACATCCTCAATATTTGCGATGATTATGATGTCACTTGCAATGAGTTCTTTTTTGACCGGAACCCAGGGGCATTTAGGACCATCTTGACTTTCCTGCAGGCAGGAAAGCTTCGACTCTTGAGAGAGATGTGCGCACTTTCATTTCAAGAGGAGCTGCTGTACTGGGGCATTGAGGAGAACAACCTGGAGTGGTGCTGCAAGAGGAAGTATCTGCAAAAGATGGAGGAATTTGCTGAACTGAATGAAACAGAGGATGAGTTCATTGATAGTGAAAACCAGTCTGATGCTGTGGTGGAGACCAAAGCTGGCCTTTGCATGAAAAAGCTCCAAGACATGGTAGAGAGGCCACAATCTGGGATTCCTGGCAAAGTGTTTGCCTGTTTATCAGTGATCTTTGTGACTATCACTGCAGTCAACCTGTCTATCAGCACCATGCCTGGTTTAAGAGAGGAAGAGGAGAGAGTAAGTTGATTCTAAGAGGGGCAACTTGCACTAGCAGGGTTGTGCTTGTGGGGAAGGAAAATCCATTTTTCAGTTTCAAGTTGAAGCATTTGAAGATGGAACAATAGTTTGACAATAAAACACTAGCAATTTTCAGGCCCTCAGTGTTCCACTAGTAAACAATGTAAATATATGGTGCACACAAGAATTTAAAACTTATGCCAGCTTGTATCGTTAATTCATGTCCAAGGCTCTTATATTGTCACAATTTGATCAATAGAACTGATTTCCATTAGAGCAAGCTTTTCAGATTTATGTGGCTAAAACATTCAGATAGCATGCCCAGTGATGGAAGCTATAGTCTAGAATACCGGGGAAACACTCAGCGGGGGAAGTGCTTTCAAACTATATATAATGTTTTTAATTGCTTTTACTTTGTAATTTTGTCTATGTTGGGCTTGGTCCCCATGTAAGCCACCCCGAGTTCGTTCAGGGAGATAGTGGGATATAAGAATGAAATTGTTGTTATTTGAAACACAACAAGATTAGTACACAGAAAACAAGATCACTATGCTGGTTGTTGTATTGGATCACACATCGGACACTTCCCAAGTGTCTTAAGACTATGTGATGTATTGGGGAATAATGCGTGCAGATCCCGGTAGGGTGGCCTTTTACAGCTGACAGATGGTAATTTTGTCAGCGTCAATTGTATTTAAGTGCAGGCCAAGGTTTTTAGGCACTGCACCCAGTGTGCTAATCACCACTGGGACACCTTGACTGGCGTATTATTATTATTATTATTATTATTATTATTATTATTATTATTATTATTATTAGTGCTTTCAAGCAATATGTAATGGAAACTTTCTGCACTTTGGTTCTTAATTTCTCACTGAATTTGAAGGGACTACAACCAAGCCCCACTTCCTTTTTACCACCTCCAATCCAAGATTAAAGGGCCAAGTTTAACTGATTTTATAGAGTATTTAATTAATAGAGTATAGCCTTTGACTACTTGACTATATTGATGTAAATGATGTGTGATGTAGAATAGAACCTGGATCTCATCAAACAGAATGAAGGTGAAAACTATCTTTCCTTTCTTACCAGAAATTTTGATTTCCAGAAATTTTGAAACCATGGGGGTCATAACTTTGTAGAGATGGTAACAGTTATAATTAACTCAACTCCTGTAGATTTAATAGTATGAAGAACAGCTCTCTTCCTTTATTTATTATTTACATTGGTACCCAAACCCTACACTACAGGTGTAGATTATTGAAATGCCCATGTTGTGAAACATTTCTATGTAGTCATTTGTGAATCTTGATCTAAATCACTTCTGAATTTGTATATCCTTTCTCTCAATCGCATGTGAGTAGTATTTTAAAAAGGTTTTTTTGTTTCTAACATTCAAGTACTGGCCTACTTGTTTTGCAGTAGTTATTAATTATGATTCTAAAGGACATGGAAATTCTAGCCTCCTAGATGATGTTGGATTTCAACTCCCAGTGATGAAGAATGATAGGAGTTACCATCCCACAACATTTTAAAAACCACAAAATACCATTTTTTCTGACAACTGGGGGATAGAAATAATAGATCACTTTCATGTCCATTCTGACATTTGGGCTCCTTGGGGCTATCTCGTCACTGCTGGAAATGAGATTGCTGAACTAAATGTCCCTTGCACTGACCTATCTGACCGCTTTTCTATTCTCAGTGGAACTTTGTTGTGTTTTTTGCCAAACTAACTTTATGAGCTCATGCGTTCTTTTTCTCTCTTGCTCCAGAATGAATGTTCTCAGATGTGCTACAACATTTTCATAGTGGAATCAGTCTGCGTAGGATGGTTTTCCTTGGAGTTCATTTTGAGGTTCATCCAGGCACCCAGCAAATTTGTCTTTCTGAGGAACCCCTTAACCATGATTGATATAGTTGCCATCCTGCCCTATTATATCACTCTGTTTCTAGACACTGCTTCATTGGGCAGTAATAAAAAGCCAAGCTCAGGCAACATCTACTTGGACAAGGTAGGCTTGGTGCTTCGCATACTCCGTGCCTTGAGGATTCTCTATGTCATGCGGCTGGCCAGGCACTCACTAGGCCTGCAGACTTTAGGACTCACCGCTCGAAGGTGCACTCGGGAGTTTGGGCTTTTGCTGCTTTTCCTTTGTGTAGCCATTGCACTGTTTTCACCACTCTTGTATGTGATTGAAAATGAAATGACTGGCTCCCAAGAGTTCAGCAGCATCCCTGCTTCATACTGGTGGGCTGTCATCACTATGACAACAGTTGGCTATGGCGATATGGTACCCCGAAGCATCCCAGGCCAAGTGGTGGCGCTGAGCAGTATCCTGAGTGGCATCCTTCTCATGGCCTTCCCTGTCACATCCATCTTCCACACCTTTTCTCGCTCGTACATTGAGCTGAAGCAGGAGCAGGAAAGAATTATGTACCGGAGAGCACAGTTCTTAATGAAAAGCAAATCAGAGTTAAGTCATGCCTCACAAGGGAGCGACGTATTTCCGAGTGCCTCTTCAGAGACCAGGGAACATGACTGAAAACTTTCCATGTCTGCCTGTTGCTGAGCAAATAGTAACGGATTTCATCTTGGCGTTCATTCCTGGAGGCATTTGGGAGATACATTGCACAAATGACATGCAAAAGGTTTTTAGCCATTATGCCAGCTGGGGGCTTATTCATCATGATGCGTATTAGCATTATTATTAGGGAGGGGGAATCAGAGCCTTGCTTTCCAGTAGACTATGCAGCTTAGATGCAAGATCATGATATGAGATTTTTACAAAACAACACAAGTATCATTAACTAAAAGGAGAACAACTGTGCAAAATTCCCATTTGGCAAAGTCATCTGTTGCCATTTGTAACATAAAGAGGCAAGCCATTTTCCAAGAAAACAACTGTGAATGTCAACACTTTCATCATTCATTTTCTTGGCCTTTTGTTGTTTATTTATATCAATACTTGTGAACTATCCCACCCCAGAGAACCACATTAATCCTTGTATGCACAACTCCATTGTTTGTAGTGGGGTTAACTATGTGCAAAGGAGTGTATGGTTTTTTAAAAAAATGTTAATTGTTTCTCTAGAATAAAGAGGCCTCTTGGTCCATCTCTTTCCAAGCTACTGAAGTCTCAATTCCTTTTTCATAGATTCAAAAACAAGAACTCCAAGCACATTGAGCAGGAAGTGTTGTATTTGGGGACCATGACACCCAAACTGTAAAAGTCATTCTGGCTGGAGGATTTCCATAGTCCCCAAAAATAACATTTACAAGTTCTGTCATAGATAATTTTCTGGACCTGGAGAACCAAGAGTAGCATTTCCTCCTCTTTTGAGTCATAATTTAAATAACACAAGTGCTTGATTCTAAGGCATACTTTTACTTGAGCTCCCACTTCCTCATGATGGGTGAGTAGCACTTTTTCTAGGTCATAATCTCAGCACCACTGCATGTAATTTTCTGTGAGATCCTTTTGCTATGGAAAAGGAATTGAGGCTTCAGTGTATTCTGTGGCAGTCTCTCTTATCAGTCTTAACTGGGATGGAAAAACTATTTTGAAAATATAGTGATTGAAAAACATGCTTTTCAAGTGTTGAGAAACCAAAATGAGAGGAATTGTTGACTGGTGAGAATCTTTACAGTTCAGAAATTATTCTGCACAAAATTTACATGTGGTTATTTTATACAGAAAACAACATTTTATAAGCAGGAAATAATATTACTCCATTGAAATCCAGGTTGAGTATCCCTTGTCCAAAATGTTTCGAATCAGAATTTTGTGGATTTTGAAATACTTTTATTTGCACATTCACACACACACACACACACAGAGAGAGAGAGTTGTCTTGTAAATGGGGCCTAAGTATAAACATGAAATTCAGTTATGTTTCATACACCTTGTACTCATAGGCTGAATTTAACTTTGTACAACATTTTAAATAATTTTATGCATCAAACAAAAGTTTGGGTGCACTGAATCATCAGAAAGCAAAGATGTCATTATCTCAACCACCCATGTGGACAATTTTGGATTGTGGAGTATTTCAGATTTTCTAGTTCTGAATAAGGAATGCTGAACCTATATGATTTTCTGTATCCAAAACAAATGTGTGAATTTTGCGCAGAATAAATTCTGAATTGTGACTAGCATTTCTGACAGCAAAAAAAGAAAATAGCTAAAATAAACTATTGAGAGAAAACACTCAATAAAGAACTGCATCCCTAGTTAGGAGTAGGCCCAAAGCGTTATGCCAATCCTCAGGCTTCTTGTGTACGTTGTCTTTTTAGCGTTTACAGGAAAGCACAGGGTAATAATTTGCGGTCTCCTAGATACTGACTGCTAGATTGACCTGAAATGCCTGTCCTTCTGTTCCCTGTCCTTGAATATTAACAGCAAAAAGGTAGCTAACTGCAAATCAAACATAATATGCGCTGAAATATCACACCATGCCAATCATTGCTTCATGGTTCTTTCCTCCTGCATCAAATAGAAGGAAATAAAACTCATGTGATGAGCTTAATTGCCAGAATTAGTAGCGTGATCATTTATAATATCTCATGGGCATCTGCCTCCTTGAAAGGAGCAAAAATTATCAAAATGAGTGGCCAAAAACATAGAGAAGAAATTAATGTATCAGATGAGTCATCAGAAACACAGTAAGCCTCCCATGAGCAAAATCGGGAAGGGGTAAGAGCCTTCTATTAATTGCCTTGACTTTCCCTAGTATGGTAAGCTACATTGCAATCAATCAGTGTGCCTGCAAAACAGTGAAAAGCAACCTCAGACTTGCCTGTACCCCAGTTCATTTAAATCTAATTCACTTTAATATACTAACTAAGCTTGTTTTTCTCTAAACCTATGCATGAAGCAAACCACATGCTTGCTGAACTTTGGTAAATGTGCTTGGCCAAGCCTTGGATATATCTCCAGTGACAAAATTCACATGGCTATATCACACAATTTTTTTACAATTCGGGATCACTATGAACAGTCAAGTAGCACAACTCCTATGTATGCAGGTGCTGTCAGTTTAGGCAAAGAACAAAGGTTGTTTTGAAAATGTGGGGTTAATCCTTTGATATCAAGACTATTAGTCTACAACACACTAAAGCTTCTACAATAAGATCGACTGGCAAGGGAGAGTTTGTATCCAATTTTGTCTTGCTCTACTGCAGGTGCACTAGTGTTGTACAAAGCAGTTTTTGGAGGTTGTGCAAAGATAATAAACAATGCCTGTATGTACTGTACAATCAATTATTCAAAACAATTCCTCAACTGTTGTGCATTCGGTTCCACAACCCCTGGTGTAAATTCATGCACAATTGTCTGACTAGATGCACAGTCTCTTGTACAATTGCTTTGCACAACACCCAAACCAGCACAACTATAGAGAGGCATTGTTCAACCCATGAAGTTCTGCCCGAAAAAGGATTCTCTAACATCACTGCTCTGTGATCCACTATATCTCCAGCCCTTTGCAATGACAGTAGATATTGGTACAATGATGGGACACAATTTGATATTCCAGGCCAATATATGAAGTTTTCACTAATTTATCTTAGACATATTTGTTGACTTGCCTCTGTCACTTAATAAGGAGGAACAGTGATATTAGTTTTCAGAGTCTTTTATTTATGTTGATAGTCATTTGCAAGGCCAGGCTTTGAAATTGAGTATGTAAAAGTGTGAGAGATGATGAGCCATATATTAAAATGATAGAGAAGACACTATAATTTGAGTTTATAATGTGGTTGCTAACTTGATAAGTGGTTGCTTACCTGAATTTGCCAAATAGCTTTAGCTCATAGCAAACCAGTGCAGAGTAACTTGGTGGTATGCCCCACTCAACATAGTGGACTTTAGTTCTAAATAGAGATGCAAACAGTGACTCGTTCTGAAACAGATGAATTTGGTCTGTATTGATTTGTTTCTTGATAAATGGTTTGTGAGGTAGAAAGATGTCCTATGAATCACTGTAAGAAATTACAGAAATTGCTCCCCCCCCCCCACCCAGCTTCCAAAATACCAAAGGCTTTTATGCTAAATTAATGCAGTGAAGTTCTCAACTGTCTTAGTATTTACCTTGAATTCTCATGCCGTGTCACACTTTTTTCTCTCCCCCCACTCCGATATTATATAAATTTATCAACAGCTGAAAAGATTTTATGAAAACATGGTGTTTTTTGTGAAGTTACAATATAACAATGGAATTACCACTAATAAAAAGTGACAAGTGTGAAAAAGATTTATGCCTTGTAAAATTATATGAAGTGACTTTTTATCAGTGGCAATATAGAGACAGCTGTTCGGTATCATTATCTTGTGTATATGTGCAACAACGTGCATAATTTCAATATAAACAGTAGCAACCATGTTCATTTTGATTAATAAAAAGAATGGATTTGCTTTTTATGTTTGTTACTTGTTATGTTGATAAATTTGTTCCTATGGACAGCTTAATGTTGTACCTAATGCTCCAAGGCTAGAACAATCCAGATGCAATTTTTACTAAGTTCATGTTATGATTGTTTTATAACTGAAATCCAGTAAATGCTGAAATGGAAAGCTTAGAGTGTTTCTACACAAATGCTATAGTGCAGTTTGAAGGTGGATTAAAAGGAATCAGTTCCACTGTGGAGCACCTACACAAACACCCAGGAACTGGTTCAAGTTGAAGATGGTAGCTACTGTTTTGGGAGATGGTGATCGGGCATTTGGACAATGTGGCCAGTCCAGCAGTTGATGGTGGAGGACCATCGTGTCAATGCTGGTGGTCTTTGCTTCTTCCAGCACACTGACATTTGTCCGCCTGTCTTCCCAAGAGATTTTCAGGATTTTAAGGAGGCAATGCTGATGGAATCGTTCCAGGAGTTGCATGTGATGTCTGTAGATAGTCCACGTTTCACAGGCATCTAGCAGGGTAGGGAGGACAATAGCTTTATAAACAAGCACCTTGGTATACATACAAGTAATCTGCATTTTTTGGCCTCAGATTCAAAACCTGAATTGAATATACTCTGATTGGCTTTGGCACATTATCTGGCTTATTCAAGACTTTCTAGTGAGTTTATTTTGATGCATTGTGCCTGGATTGATCCTAGCAACAGAGTGCATGGAGGACATTTTGTGGACACCCTGGCTTCACCAGGCAAGAAGGCACAGTTTGCTCATCTTTGCTCTACCATGTTCAGGCACTCTGGAAACCAAATAGTATCTTTTGTCAGTTCAGAAAGCCTTCCCTCAAGTTATTAGTTCTTGTTGAATTGTTTGTTTTTTCCCATTTTGGATAGGTGGATAGGACAGTGTTTTAACTGTAACATTAGAGCATTTAGTGTTTTAACTGTAACATTAGAACAAAACTGGGTCATAATTGCATTCATTTAGTAAATTCAAGGCACATGACATCAGTGGAAAACTGGCATGAATTGGGTATGTAAAATCTATGTAAGCAGACTTTAGAAGAGTGTTCCAGTCTGCATGAAACCAAGGATTTCTGTGGAGAACAGTACTTTTCTCCAGCTTGTTCCTCCTGCTAAAGAGTTTAAAAGTGTGTTAGAAATTTGCATCAGGTTAACTTCTCAGCACTCAAATACAAACTGCACTCTATATAATAAACACATTGTCTTGTTCTTCATTTTCCTATTGTGTTAATACTAGTTATATTGAAAACTCCCAGGTTGAAATCCAGTACCATTTTTCTTAGTACTAATTTCTACAGAAAATCCTTCAGATGATTTGAATTGTGTACTTTAGATTCTTCATGTTATACAAAAGAAACCAGAAACACGTCTCAAGCTGCTCAAGTGATGGTCTGTTTATTAATAAAATAACTGAAAGCATTTTGTTCTATGGGTACTCTTAAGGCCTTTTTCAAGCAGTTACGGTATTTAAAATAATACAAGGACAACAAATAAATACATAGTACACTGCATAAAATTATAGCCTGTACATATCCATTTAGAATCAGACTTCAGAAATCTCCAAACCTGGAATCCTAAATCATTTGCTGTTTTTTATTTTAAAAGCTTTTAAATAAAATATATCTTGTGAGTAGATTAAAAATATACATTGTATTCGAGGGTACATGGATGCATCTGAGATGAAAGGGAAAGGACTATTTGAAAACTATGAAGGGTTTTACAAAAGTAGAGGG